ATCTGGAGAAAAGGTGAATATAGTCTGACCTGTAAACAGATAGCAAGCACTCTTAGTGTTTTGTAAATCTTCTAAAGATGAATTTGCGAAATTTCATCTGAATCAGACTAATTAATTTAAATGTATCATGTTGCTGCAGCGCCACCTACAGGTGAAATGTTATCCAACCAACCAGCACGGATCAAAGTTGATATGTACATGTCATCTAAATTTAGTTGCAATTTCAAAATGTGTTCAAGAATTAAAGTCCAGTGTGTAACATCTATTGGCAGAAATGGAATATATACTAAGTACAAGTACCTAAAACTTTCCACTGCTCATACGTTCGCTCAAAAGAGAAGAGTGTTCATCGACCACAGACAGGCTTGAGATGGGAGGAGTGTATTTATGAGATACACATTATAACCACACATTCCTCATCATCACGATTTGTCTGAAGATGAGGGTGAACATCTACATCTGCCTGTTCGCTTTTGTTCTGAGCTGTAACGTCACTTCAGGTAAGAGCATTTTAAAATGAATAAATGACTCTAAACCTGTAAAAGGTTCTGATTGGTAACATTTTCCTCTGCTAAACTGGGATTCAACTGGTTTATATCAAGACCCCTGAACTGAACTAAATTAATAATAATAATTCATTCAGCATATATAGTCTGCTCTATACTGTGAGGTTTTGAAGGTTGTGTCAGTGGTGTATGGGGTTGTTGACTTATGTACAACAATATGACAAAATAATAACAAAAAATATATAACTATATTTGACAGTTCAATGTGAACTTAATTAATTAATATGTCTGTTTCTTTTACAGCAATAATCGATGGAAGATTATTCCAACTGTATTGTCCTCCCACTGTGGAGGGTAAACTGACGTGGAGCAGAAAGACAGATGGAACTGATGATCCAGGCAGACGATACAGTTCATTGGAAGATAAATCAGGTAATTTCAGACTTTAATAAAGTTGTTCTGTTTTCTCTTCATGTCTCTGAGCTAAATGTTTCATTTTTATTCAACTTTGTATTGTGTTATATACAAAAATACTTTTGTAACGTAATGTCTCACGTTACTTCCTGGTACTGTAATAGAGCCTTTTGGTGTACTTTAAGTTTCACTTAATATGAAGTAAAATACACAAGTTATCTATAAAACTGTCTGATCACATCTCAGTACAGTCTTTCTTCTTCTTTTGGAGGATTTAACATTATACTGAATGTTTATTCTTGTGCACAGTTCTCACACAAAAGATATCTTTCTCTGCTCTAACACCTAATTCAGGAAGTTATTTGATGACGTATATTTCCAACTAAAATACAGCTGTGCAGTGACAGATGTCAGTTCCTCAGTTTCACACGATCTCTGACTTCATCCTGAGTCAGTGTGATAAGTTTATGATGGTAATCCGGTACCATTAATAGCAAATACTGAGTCCTGCTCTTCTGTTTGCTGTGTACAGCGAAACCACGCACGTGATGCTGCACGCAGCAGGACCACCACATCACTCTGAAATGTCTTCCCTGATGTCTGGAGGCACCCCCAGAATTTCAACATGGAGCACGAAGACAGCTTGAAATAACCAACACAGCAGACGGTTTATGTTTTCACTGCTGACCAACGTTGATAATAAAAGCTTGCAGCATGTGACTCTGGACATTTATTACTGCGCTGATGAAACCTGCTGTATATCTGACTGTGAAGCAAAGCTGAGACATCTGAGAGAGGTGAACACAACAGACCATCTTTAACTGGCAACAATAAGAGAAAAGTAAGGTACAGACATGACCTAAGAGTACCAGACAGGAGAGCAGATTAACTGGTGCAATTAAGCTCAAAGGACGAATCACAGAATCACAGGTGGTTTTCCGCTGTGAGATCGCTGCAGTGATGGCAAAAGAGGTTTTTTTATTTATGTTCAATTATTTCAGACACTTCTGTATTACTAATTCACAATTTTTTGTTAAATATATTTTGATAATTTATTATATATTTCTCTACCCACAATAAACGGGAACAAGACACCCACAACAACTGCACCAGTAATATACAGGTACGACTACAACACAAAAACAAGATGAAAACACATACCAAATGTTACAAATGGTTCCAAAAGACAAACCCAAAAACAGAAAACACTTGGGATGCAAAAATCCAGATTAACGCAGTTCCATCAAACTATGCCCTCACTAAAACGTGAGTACTAAGTGTAAACGCTGCATAAAACATGGACTAAAGAACAAGGTAAATATGTCTGAAAACCTAAATCCAACCAAGAGTCATGTTAAGGAGATGCCTTCATGTTTATACACAAAGAGTGTGTCTTCTCTGTTCAGCCTTTACAGTAATTGCTATTTGTACCAAGACAAAAGATGAATTCTGAACACATTGACTGTCACTTGATGATCGGGTGATGGTTCAGATTATGACCC